AAAGATCTATGAATTAGAGGTAGATGAAGAGAAAGAGCAAGCTAATCAGGTAGAAGCACTACAAAGGGAAAAATTCTCTACCAATCAGGTTATTTGTTGGAATTGCAGGGCTCCTGGTCACTCGTTCATTGAATGTCCAGTGGCTCAACGCAGCATATTTTGTTATAGGTGTGGGTTCGAGGACGTCACTACCCCCACATGTCCTCGGTGTCAGGGAAACAACCGTCCGAACATGCGGAAAACTGGGGCTGCATGTTCAGGCCAGAACCTCACCCAGTAAATTGCCAAGTCGTACAACCCAATTTGACCGGTGACAACTTCAAGCAGGATAGAACAAATAATAAAGAGACAACCAACGAAGACAACAACAAGATAACTGTTATAGTAGATAAGGAATTTCTGAAGGATAAGATTAGTGTAGAAAACGGGTGTCCAGAGGTAGATTTTGTGGAACACAGGATGGGAATTAATCCAAATCTTTCATACGAACAACGTTTAGAAAACTACAGAAAAAAGCGAACAGAAATCTTTGCAGAGTATAAACCCATTGATAGCAAGAAAATAGTCAAAACTAGGGAAAGACATGCTGCAAGAAAGACAGAAAGAAAAGAGATCGCGTCAACCCGGCTAGGTAGTGAGGATGACATAAGGCCCTATATGGAGGTTGAAATTGAAGGGTTCAAGTACCGAGGTCTCTTAGACAGTGGAGCTTCTGTAAGCTGTCTCGGGAGAAATTGCTTAGAGAATGTGAGGAAGATGAACATACGAATAATGGACTTTAAATCTTCAATAAGTACCGCTGATGGTCGACAACACTTTATCGTAGGAAAAATTCGAACTAATATTAATTATGGAAATATATCAGTAGGAACAATCTTATATCTGGTTCCAAATTTGAATCAAGAGCTTATTTTAGGATTTGATTTCTGGATGAAAATAGGACTTAGAGTGTGTTTTGACAATAAAATATTAAATGAAATTTCAATCCCAGAATCGGAAGACTTGAAAATGCATAACCTCAGTTCTTATAAGCGCAGAGTTTTAGACAATGTAAAACAGTCTTTTCAATGCTATACGCAATATGGCCGAGGTAGAACTATATTGGAAACGCACACAATCGACACAGGTAATGCATCGGCCAAGAAGATGAGGCATTATCCTGTTAGCCCAGCAGTCCAAAAATTAATATACGCCGAACTTGACAGGATGCTAGAGCTAGACGTGATAGAAGTTACTACCGGATCTGAGTGGAACAACCGCACAACTCTGGTCATAAAACCCAATAAAAACAGGCTATGTCTCGACGCTAGGGAGCTGAATAAAGTAACCAAAAAGGATACTTATCCCCTCCCTAACATCGATGGCTTATTAGCTAGGCTAGGTGACACTCATTTTATCTCAGCAATCGACCTGAAAGATGCCTTTTGGCAGATCCCTCTGGATGAGGCCAGTAGACCGAAGACAGCGTTTACAGTACCCGGCAGGCCACAGTATCAATTTAAGGTGATGCCTTTCGGGCTGTGTAACGCTGCCCAGAGACTGTGTCGGTTGATGGATAAAGTGGTGCCATCAGAGCTGAAGGACCGGGTATTTATATACTTAGATGACTTATTGGTAGTATCTTCTAACTTTGACGACCACATGGACATGCTCAGAATTGTAGGCCAAAAGTTGACTAGGGCAGGATTGACAATCAACATGCAGAAATCCAAGTTTTGCTACAAAGAGCTTAAGTATCTAGGTTATATTGTCGGTGGAGGAAAGATTAAACCAGATGAAGGAAAAGTAACGGCGATATTAGATATAAAACCACCGAAGAACACAAAGGATGTTAGCAAATTTTTGGGAACAGTAGGGTGGTATCGGCGTTTCATCCACGACTTTTCCACTCTGACAGCACCTCTCACCGACACCCTTAAGAAATCGCCTAAGTTCCATTTTACCCCTGAAGCATCAAGTTCGTTTGAAGAACTTAAACGCAGATTAGCATCTAGCCCCATCTTATCTAGCCCAGATTTTGAAAAGCCATTTTTCGTCCAATGTGACGCTTCAAATGTTGGAATAGGTGCAGTCCTATTCCAAAAAGACGATGAAGAGGGGGAACATCCCATAGAATACTTTTCCAAAAAACTTAATAGTGCGCAAAAAAACTACTCTACAACCGAGAAAGAATGTCTCGCTGTAGTGTTAGCAATTGAAAAGTTCAGACAGTATATCGAACTGATGGACTTCACAGTTATAACGGACCATTCAAGTCTGAAATGGCTAATGCGACAGCAAGACTTGAACGGAAGACTAGCTCGATGGAGTTTAAAACTTCAAGGCTACAAGTTCAATATCGAGCACAGGAAAGGTACCAAAAATATTGTCCCCGACATGTTGTCGAGACTAGATATGGAGGAAATAACCGTTAGCACTAATTCCATAATTGATTTTAACTCTGAATATTTTAAAAACAGAGAATACCTTGCTATAATTGATACGGTAGAGGAAAATAAATACAGACTACCAGATGTTAAGGTTGTCGAGGGTATATTATACAAAAAGGTCAAATTTAATAGAAATGATATGGACAATGAAGATGAGTGTTGGAAAGTATGGGTACCATCAGATTTGACCGAAGGTATTATAAAACGGTTTCATATTGAGAATACTTCGCACGGGGGAATTACAAAGACTCTATTCAATATTCGTGAGTACTTTTATTGGCCTTCCATGGTGAAGCAGATTCGAAACTACATTAGAGAATGCGAAACATGTAAGGAAAGTAAACACCCGAAACAGATATTAAGACCACCTATGGGTAAAGAAGTGCAAACGCAAAGACCTTTTCAAAAAATATATATAGATTTTTTAGGACCATACCCTAGATCTAAGAATGGCAATACCTGTATTTTGATAGTTTTAGATCATAAAACTAAATTTGTTCTACTAAAAGCATTAGCAAAAACAACTACAAAATCAACTATAAAGTTCTTGAGGGATGAAGTTTTTTATAAATTTGGAGTGCCAGAATTTGTGCAATCCGATAATGGCAAGCAGTTTACTGCTGAAGCTTTTAAGGAATTCTTAGCCTTGTTTGGAGTAAAACATCTCCGTACTCCCATTTACTCACCACAGGCCAACGCCAGTGAGAGAGTAAACCAAAGCATTCTCAGTTCAATTAGAAGTTTTCTAGATAACGACCAAACAAAATGGGATGAAAATTTATCTAAGATTGAATGTTCGTTAAGGTCTACAATTCATGCATCGACCGGTGTAACGCCATTTTTCGCACTAACAGGCTATAACATGATAACACATGCTGACGCCTATGAAATATTAAAGAAATTGAGATCAAGCGAGGAAGGCGATATGTTAGTCTTACCAAAATCTGCACATATGCAACTTATTCACCAACAAATAGGCGAAAAACTACATGATGCCTATTTAAAAAATGAGAAGCACAATAATCTTAAAAGTAGAACTGTTAGATACAAGCCTGGACAAGAAATATATAGAAGGAACTTTATACAAAGCAACTTTGCAAAAGGGATAAATGCCAAGCTTTGTAGACCATGGCTTAAGTGTAGAGTCCGAAAAGCGATAGGAGACAATAGCTTGAGATCGAGGACCTTAAAGGGAAACTAATAGGAGTAATGCACGCTCAGCACCTCAAACAATAAAGAGTGGAAGGAAAAATTTTTGCTCGATATCCATGTTGGAATGTTACTTACTTCTTTGTACTGAGTTACCATTGTATAGCATTACAGGTCAGAAGGTGTCCTTTTTTTCCCTAATCTTTTCACTTCACAGGCTGCGTAAAAAGATCAGGTTTTGTGACGGCTGGACAACAATACTTATTTATTTGACCGTAATTTGGTTTAAATAATTTATTTTCGACAATAGTTTCTACCAACCATTCACTCGGACTAGCACAATAAGAAGAAAATCATAATAATGTGAACAAAAATTAATAAAACTATTGTCGAAAATAAATTATTTAAACCAAATTACGGTCAAATAAATAAGTATTGTTGTCCAGCCGTCACAAAATTCAAATAGCAAAGAAAACGGTAAAAATGTTAAAAACCATTCTTCACTATGCCGACGAACCCTTCCGATTTCAAGTTTACTTGTAAGTGTATCATATAAGATATGATTTTTCCATAATTTCTTCTTTGTGTTCAATTACAGAAGTTTCTTATGAGTGTTGTATTCTGTTGGCATTTCTTTTTTAATGCCAATTCATTTGAGTGTGTCCGTTTAGATTCTGCACAGTTCGCACATCTCTCGGATGAACATATCTTGCGTTGTTAAACATGTCCAAGTAATTTACATTTAAGTGCAATATAAAAATATGTACATATGTGAATTTTCGAGCGGCAATAACGTTTTAAAGAAGGTGTCTTTGTGTGTCGTTTTTATACCCAACTTCAAGTTAGTCAGATGCTTTAACGTAGATAAAAATTAGAATATAGGGAAGAAATTCAAAAATTGAATCCCTAAATAACATATCTTGTATAAGATCAGTTTAATGGCAACAAAGATGAAATTAAACATGAACTTGTTCTGTGAAATTAATCAAATTCTATTTCCAAATAGGGCCTTCGGTTTAACTTTATGACACATGCCAAGCAAATACCTCTAGGTTTCGACGGGTTCAGTGTTGTCCGTTTGTGAGCTGGACCGTTTTTATGAAAATTAGAGTAGACATTAACAATTATGTTTAATTCAAAAGTTATACCTAACTTCAAAAAATAACTTGTTTTGTGATGGTACTCAAAATACATTTTTTATTTTTTTTCCTAAATATGATTTCCCCTTCTGCATGTGTGGCAACGTTTTTCCTCATGTGTTTACAAAAAATAAATTTCAATAATTCTTATTTACGTCAAAAATATTTTCATTGAGAGAGAACGGAGTTACCTTGTTTTCTTTATACTATACAACTAATTATAATTAATTATACGCAGATACTCGATTTTTTCTTGTTACTAAATTTTTTATTTATTTTTTAGAACATAAAAAGTAACCGAAGCGACAAACTTTGGACTATTAAGTACAATTGTCATAAGAACATTGCTTTAATATTGGAAGAGCGTTTTCAGTACATGTTTGCGCTTCAGCATTATATATATGTAAGTAAGATGTTTTATTATTATTATTAAAATTTTTAATTTGTTTGTAATGTGTTATTTTAGGCAATCTTAATTGACAGTACAGACGTTTCCACATTACACAAATTTGGCCAGTTAGCATTAAAATTGAATGCAACCGATTTAGCTGAATATGCATTTGAAAATTGTTTGGGACGGAATTCGGCTCATTGGAGTGCTGCGGAAGGAATGCTTCAGGTGATGAATATCAATCATAACATAATGGGTTCATATAATTGGGCCACAAAAATATTTCAACAAGATATAAATTGTGATAATGTGGAAGGAACTTTAAAAGAAATTACAATGTTATTTAAAGAACATTTAACATTTTTGAAGAAATGTGGTGGAGACCAGTTCATTCCTTTATTTAAAAATCAATTACAAAATTCAATTGCGTTTGCAAACCTGTTTAATGCAAATCAATCTTTAGAACCAAATGAAAATAATATCTTTTATCAAATACCCGATCTGAGGCAATTTTATATTAAAAAATTGAATTGGCACAATATAGGCCAATTTATTGTTCGTGTTCACTCCTACCTAAAGGAAATTAGATACGAAGTGCCATTCGTGTTTAATTTCAACGATGTAATTATAAAAGGTAATGTTGATTTAAATGACATTACAAAAGATATGACGGATACAACAATTACCTATGGGGATAAAATAAAAATGGTTGCTGGAGAACAAAAAAATATTAATACGATTGATGAAGTAATAACTGATCAGTCAAAAATTTCTATAGCTGAAAAATCGGATACCCAGCCTATTGATTTCAACAATTATGACTCAGATTCAAATGCTAAGTCAGATATATGTGAAAATAATAAAGCAAAATCAAGGCGTCGTTGCAGTGACTTACATTTTCTTGAACAGTGGGGTTGGCATAAAAATCGTAGATATTCATCTCGCAAAAAAACTGAACGTGATGAAGTAGATTTAAGCCTAAATGGATACTTGCGAAAAATGTTGATAAAATATACAAAGTAAGTAAAATAATTTTTCTTTTAATTAAAAAAGTATAAAGAATATATGTATAGAACGAGGAAAAAGCAAAAAAAAAACATGCATTTTTACACAAAAATAGTGCTTCTATGATAATAAAATTTTACACTTTGCTGAAACCGGTCAATCCTTAGGGGTACCTCCCATACAAGAGTCTCCCTATACAATGATTGATCTGTCATAAATTCATGGAAAGCTCATTTTGAAAAAAAAAATAAAATATATTTCAAAAAAAAAAAAAAATTTAGAAACAATGAAGAAATAGCTATCTGTACTCCTTTGGACAATTTTTGCTAGGACAAATATGTGAAAAGATACACTCATTTTTTGTCTGACCTACTATCCAATAGTACTAACCTTGGTGCAAATTTCGTCAAAATCGATTTTTTGAGTTGGGCCACTTAACATGAAATTGCCCATATGTATTATTAAAATCAATGTATGTATGTTAATTTATTTGTTTCTTTGTACCTTATAGGAGGCTAAACTAAATAGGCTACTTTTATTTTGAAATTGCAAGTGGAAGGGGTGCCACGCCCACTTTTTCAGAATTCTCAAATTTTGTATGGGCAATTTTGACATCCATATGATTATTTGGTGGAAAAATTGGAGGACTAGCAATATGGGGCGTTGCACTCCCCATGTGAATTAAATAATTCACATGGGGAGTTAATTAAATTAATTTAATTCATTCATATTTTCATATTTTCCCCAAATGGAAGCCATTTTACACAAAAGCCGTCTGTTGCGTATGGTTAGAGGAGAAGAGCAAATGCCAAGTATCACTCCTATTCAAGATGCTCGTGCAGAAATAATTGTTTCATTGCAACCTGATATAATAAGAATGGTGAAAAATTTCAAAACTTCACCTGAAATATGGTCTTATCTCAAGGAAACTTTTGATAGAAAATCAACTAGAAAGAAGGCGGAACTATTTCGTAAACTATTAAATTTGAAAATGAAGGAAAACCAAAATATAAGTGAATATTTAACAGAATTTGATATAATTATATCTGATCTACGCGAAATGATTGATGATATGGATGAAGACTTTTTAACCGTAATGTTATTGGATAGCTTCTCATCTAAATATGAATCTATCAGAGCAGCATTAGATGCTACTAATGAATTTCCAACTTTGAATATTTTACGATCTAGATTGTTGGAAATTGGTGATAAATTTGAACAAAATAGTAATAATTTTGAAGATAACGCTCTTAAGGTGAATAAATTTAAAAAGTTTAGGTTAGGTTGATAGGATGATGTATACTACATCAAATCCGAAGAAATACACCTAGGCCACTATCGGGCCTGTTGTGCGCTCCTGATCATGAAAAAAAAAACTGAAAGAATTATTTTTCAGTGTTCAGAAACTCAGTTTCCTGAACGTAATTCCTAAGAATCTTCCAATCAGTGTTAGTCAGGAATATTATTTCCGGAATAACATCACTTCCAAGATACTTGGATCTAACTTCGACGAATGCCTGACAGTGGCAAAGAAAGTGCTCCAGAGTTTCACTGTCCTCTCCACATGCTCTACATTCGTCTGAATCCGCACGTCCAATTTTGTATAGATTTGCTCGTAGTCCTGTGTGTCCACTCAGAATACGTACCATCATACTAACTTCAGACTTGCTCATTTTGAGGTGATTTTTCGTCTTGCTCTCATCAGGGTCACCCCATAGGATCTTCGTGGTTCTACCCACCGTTTCATTATTCCAAGAGGCCTGTTTGGCATCAATCCAATTTGTCCAAGTTTTTATGAAAATAAAACAAAATAAAGTTTCAAATTTTATGAGACGTAGATCTCTTTTATTTAAAACCAAATATTACCTCGTAGAAGGTTTGCAGGTTTTTTATGTAAAAGATAATGTGCACGTAGTGCTTGTCGTAGACAACATCAATATCTTAAGACCGTGTAAAAAAACAAGCTTAATTTGGTGGCAAACAATATTTAAGTACCGTTAACGGTTTACTCGTTAGAATCTTCCAGCAAAGATGTATAAAATTGGCATTAGATTCTAACGTTGTTAAAAATATTATTATTCATTAAAAGGAGCAATTACCAAAAATGCAGCTCGCAACAAAACTCGCTTAAACATTGCCGGCCACCTTGCAATATCTCAAGCATATTGTAACAATTAATTCATTCGCAATATCTTAAGCCGAATGAAGCAAATGTTAATATAATAATTCATTCGCAATATCTTAAGCCAAATGAATCATGGTTGGTTTTATGACAGATCCATCAACTGTATAAACTAAATACTTAAATATTAGGCAAAACGTATATTTTAGTGAGCTTATTTAGTGATAATGAAGTAAATTTTTCGATAAAAGTATTTCAATTCCTTTGCGACCAAGTTGAATATTCCGGAAAGTTAATAACTGAATTAAATTGATTAGGATTAACTGGACCTGTCAGAATCCAGCCAAAAATCTTTTGTGCTAATAACGACCCTAATAAGTTTCGTTGTATATCCGGTAAAACAATCCAAGGGTATAGATCAGCGCCAATAAGGATATCAATAGGTCGGCTATCAAAAGGATTAAAATCCGCCAAACGAAGATTTGGCAATAATTTTTGAATGTTGGCGTTGACGGAAGTCGTAGGCAAATTTGTCGATATTTCTGGTAAAACAAATGCATTTATATTTAGTTCTACGGAAGAATCGAAGTTAGATCCGATCAATCAAAGCACGGACCTGATACTTATTGTTATTATGTTTTATATTAACAGTCGCTGTCCCTAAGAGTACGAACTGATTATATCGAGTATGAAATACTTGACGGTTTGACATAATATTATTAGAGGTATTCGGTGTTGGATAATTTTGTAGCGAGTTAGTGGTTCGTAGAACCGCGTCTGAATTGCGTTCAGTAGAAACAGAAGGCGTTTCTGTATGCTGAATATGAAGCATAGAATGGTGTCGATTATTGCAAATAAAACAATTACTATTAACTTTACAATTGCTGACATTATGTGTCCTCGAAAGACAATTAGAACAGCAATTATATTTGTTTACGGTAGAAATTCTATCCATTATTGAAAGATTTTTAAACTTTAGACAATTTCGCAAAAAATGAGACTGGTTAGGACACAAGATACACGACATTTTAGTAGAAGTAGCATTGTAAGAATGTTTTGAAGATTCCACGTCAGAAGAGTTTGTCCCTTTAAGGTCGTGAAGACATTGCAATGTTTGAATTCTTTCCGTCAGAAAGTTATCAAAATCATGCCAAGTACACAACACAGATTTGTCCTTAACGCCCTGTTCCCATAAAATCACAGTTGACCTAGGCAGACGCTGAATACATATGAAAATAATAATTGGGTCCCGTGCCGTGAATAAATCTCTAAAAGTAGGCCAAGAAACATAATCCCCACCGAATGTGTCAACATCACAAGGGGGTAAAGACAGATTGTGTTCTGAAGTGCCAGTATTTAAATTTACCGTTGAAGAATCACTATTCTTCTAATCACGTTTAAATTTGTCCATTTTCTGAGTAATAGAGCCTAAACATTGAAAATAAGCCATGTATGTGGTCTGATATTTAGACGCTGCCACATCTACATCACTAGATTCACTGGGGGGAGAAGTTTCGAAAAACTTCTGACAAGAAGTATAAGTTGTTCTAACTTCCTCCCACAATCGTCTTATTTCCTCGCCCTGTATCTCTAAGGTAAAAATGTTATGAATATCCTCACCTAAATCATTAATAGGGTGATCGACTCGATTTTTCAACCGGTTTTAAAACCGGTTTTTTCTGCTTTACCAGTGTCGGTTTTTTCTTAATGTTGATTTTTCGAATATCGAATAACCCGGTTTTTTCACTTTTTAAAACCCGGTTTCGAATACTTTTATTTGCTTTGTATTCAAAGATTATTTAAATGAAATTTTTAAGTAAATAATAATACAGCCCGTCTAAATTTTAAAAATATTCGAGTCGAGGAACTAGAGTACATTTTCTACAGCTCTTTTGGTTAAACTTTTTTGATTTTCCTAATTAATTAAAAAAATTTATTTGTAAAATTGATAACTGTTTGATAAAATTTAGCAATCTTAAGATTATATTCCAATTACAATAATTAATTTACGGCTGAAATTTTATGGAAGAGTTGGAATGCCTATGCAAATTTCCTAAACAGGGCTTTTAAAATAAGCTAGGATTACATAGTACCTTATGTTTAACAGAAGTGTCCCACTTCTTTCCTAATTTGTTTATATTAAAGAAATAATGTAAATCAGACGACTAGATCTAAAGTTATAATCTTTTAAACTGTTAAAAATCATTTCGGGCCATGTTTTGTTAATCAAATTTAAACATAGACATTAAGTTTTTCAAATTAAAATATATTTTTTTTAATTATAATGAAAAACCGGTTAACCGGTTTTCGAACTATTCGAAAACCGGTTTTTGGAAAATGTCGAATAATCGATCACCCTAATCATTAAACATCGCGCCGAAAGTAACAAGAGCATCCGATGCTCTAAAAAATTCGTTTTGTGGCGTAACAGACACGTTTAATATTAAAAAAAATTAATAAAATGTAAGGAAATTAAAAATCAGAACTAATTCACGACAAAAAATATTATAATTAGTTTTAAATGTCAAGCAACAAACGTGACAATGGCTAAACTGACCGACCGTAGGGTGACCAATATAATGAAAGAACAAGAATTAACCGTATATGTATTTTGTTTTTATATTTTACAGATGTAAATCTGTAAACAAATGAAGCACAAAAGAAAATATAAAAACACTAATTGTCAGTCGGAGCAAAAAAAAAATTAAAATTTCCAAAAAATTAATTAAAATTTCCAAAAAATTAATGCACTGTATTAAATATTAAAAGTAAAAATGACGAAAAAATACAAAAAGAACTTTGTGTATGTGTGCGCGTTAAAAGAACCGAGTTTTTTACCACTTCACTTTTGCTCACAAAATATATTTACGTACCTTAAATATTTCGTAGAAATAAATAAATATATATATTGTCAGTGGACTGTATTGTTGAGGATGATGGACTTCAAAAGATGCCAACAATATCCAGTACTCAATTCAGGAATCCGGTTCAAAGGACCAAATGTTTGGCATCAATCCAATTTGTCCAAGTTTTTATGAAAATAAAACAAAATAAAGTTTCAAATTTTATGAGACGTAGATCTCTTTTATTTAAAACCAAATATTACCTCGTAGAAGGTTTGCAGGTTTTTTATGTAAAAGATAATGTTCACGTAGTGCTTGTCGTAGACAACATCAATATCTTAAGACCGTGTAAAAAAAAACAAGCTTAATTTGGTGGCAAACAATATTTAAGTACCGTTAACGGTTTACTCGTTAGAATCTTCCAGCAAAGATGTATAAAATTGGCATTAGATTCTAACGTTGTTAAAAATAGTATTATTCATTAAAAGGAGCAATTACCAAAATGCAGCTCGCAACAAAACTCGCTTAAACAAGGCCTTATGGGATTCTCTCACCCATATTTTTAGTTCAGCTTTTGTTGCGTCGAATGGTTTTGCGTTTGTCAGGTTAACTGCATCGAGCTCCCTTCCCTTTAAAGCTATTACATTCGCCCTTTCGTTACCGACTACTCCCGAGTGGGCTGGTACCCATATGATGTGAACCTTACCTCTGGGAGAGTATTCATTTAAAGCTTTCTAACAATCCAATTCGGTCTTAGATTTAATTCTATCACCTGATATCGCCCTAATTGCCTTCTGGCTGTCGGTAAATATATTAAGCCCTGTGGGCGCCATATTTATTCTGGAAGCTTGTGTTATGATTAGGCAAACGGTGGTATATTTCTGTTTCTGGGTCTTCAATATAGAACCCTAGCCCCACTTTGTCCCCTAATTTAGAGCCATCCGTGTAGAAACGGATTCCTACTGGTATTTGCTCTAATGTTCCGCTTGACCAAGACATTCTATGTGGGATTAGCGTTTCAAAGTTTCCGACATATTCTGTGCCTGATCGCATAAGGCACGTCCGATGAATGTGTATAACCTTCCAATGTGTCCAGTATACATTGATGACGTGTCCTATAACCGTTTTTGGCCAGTTCGCCTAAAGTAAAGAGCCGTTCGGCTGTAAGCGCCGCCTCATATCTTATATATGTTTCAATGGGTGGAATATCTAGCAACGTTTCCAGAGCCTTTGTAGTGGACGACTTCGTTTAAAGCGGTTTCCACCGATCGTCCCTTTACATAAGCATGCTGCTTATATTTAAGGTCTTTGTAACCATGCTATCGACTATCTGTTCCAAGGTTTTAAGTAGGAAGGACGTAAGACTTATCGGTCGATAGGACTTAGGTGTCGCATAGCTAGGTTTCCCAGGTTTGGGTATAAATATTACCCTTGCATCTTGCCAATTAACTGGGGTATATGCCAATTTTAAGCATGCAGTGAATATCTGTGACAGATGTACGAAAACCAGTCCCGCCTCCATCTGCAAAAGTGCCGGGAAAATGAAATCGGTTCATCTATGTTATTCGATATACCGGGTGGGAAATGAGAGTCCATATGAGTTTCATTGTCTCCTCCATATCCTCAAGCCTCCTGCCCGTGTCAACGATCATAGATTCCGGTTGGACATGAGTTTTGGATAGGAATTTTTTTATCTTCGATACGTCATTTACGCTATATACCTGTTCACAGAAAAGTTTCCAGGAGTCTCGTTTGGCTTTTCGAACGATTTTCTTATATTCACCAAGTTTATTACGATACTCATCCCAGTATACTGCGGTCTTTTTACGCCATGCCCGGTTAAATAGTTTGCGAAGAGTCTTCCCAAGGTTCCGGATCTCCCCAGTTACCCAGGGTTTTTCCTGGGCAGATCTCCGCTCTCGCAGAGGGCAGCTGTCCTCGAACGATTCAACCAGGGCACTTGTGAAAGTTTCCACTTTGGCATCTATATACCCTTTATTTCGACATTGAAAAGTGTCCTGACCTAAACGGTTCTTTAGTAAGGTCCCGAACATTGTTCAATTAGTTTTAGACTTATTCCGAAACTTTATCGGCTTTGGTGGTGGCGTTAGTATTTTGAATCTTATGTACCGATGATCAGAAAAGAAGTGCTCGTCCGAAACTCTCCAATCCTGAATTTCGTTATAAGCTCTTCTGAACATATAGTTATATCTAATACTTCTTCTCTGATTCTATTGACGAAGGTAGCTTTATTACCTAAGTTCAATGTTATCAAGCCTTTAGTATTAAGGAAATCCATGAGGGCTTGTCCCCTGCGATTGGTGTTTGTACTACCCAAGCTACATGGTGCGAGTTGGCATCACAACCTATTACAATTTTCTTATTTTTCCTTTGTGCCTCTTCAACCAGTTTCATCAGATCCGACGTTGGTGGTAGTGTCGGAGAATCGAAAGGCAGGTATGATGCAAGGAATATGTTGCCACGACCTTGCTTCAGCACCGTTGCATCCGATGCTGATAATCCTGTTGAGAGGAGAAAACATAAGTTCTTGTGACATAAGATACATGTTCTCGGGCGAGACCCTGTATCAGCGTAGAAAAGTTGGAAATTTACGTGATTTAATCCAGAAATCCATCGTCCAAGGTTCCTGGATTAAAGATATATGTATTTTACCTGTGTTAATTTTAGCCATCATAGCGTTGGTAGCTGTCTCGCTCCGATGAAGGTTTATTTGGATAACCTCAATCATGGTCATCCATTAAACTGTCTTCCAGCGAGTTGGTGGTCACCTCCTCGCTCTTTGGATTTGACTCCTCCGGGTAGCCTGAAGTGGCTATTAATGCAGTGAGTACTGTTGATGGCTCTGCGGTGTCCTTATCAGGCATAGGAATAGCAGTATTTTTAATAGACACATTCCCAATTCTGGAGAGCACTGCTGTTCTGTCTTCTGGCGGGTGAGTGATTTCCTCCTCGCTTTTAGGATTTGACTCCTCAACATTGCCAGTACTTGCTAATGATGCTTTGGGTACTGTCTTAGGTGTTTTAGTGTCCTTGTCGGGGCCGGTTTTGACAGCCCTTTTAATCGGCGCCTTCCCAATTTTGGAAAGGGCAACTACACTTTCTTCAGGCGAGTTAATTCCTCGATTTTAGGATTTGACTCCTCAGTAGTGGATACTGATGCTGTGGTCTTAGGTTTTTTAGTGTCCTTTTCGAGGCTTGTTGTAACAGCCCTTCCAATCGGCACCTTCCCAATTTTGAATATGACAGATTTAGAGGCGAAGTAAGCTCTACCTTTATTCTTGGCAAGACTAGCCATGGATTTCTTGTCGATACCTATTACAAATAAATTTCCCTCAGGTTCTTCTTTCCTGTAAAAGACATCCTATTTTTCCGCTGCCAGCTCAGCATTTTGACCTCCAAAAATTTCCAGTATACCTTCATTAGCCAGTTTACTGCCCCATCCTTTTATGTAGACAGTGGACTTTAAGAGCACCGGAAGCTCGCTCTTCTTTGCCAGTCCCAGCCTAGCGCCGTCCCAGGGAGGAGGGATACTTACCACCAAGTTCTTTAGGGTGCTAACACATTGGTGAGATGCCAACCTCATCAACATCACGCCCATGCTGAACTCGCAGCTCTCGCTCTCTATTGGTTGTTTGCCCTTTGAAGCGATTGCATGGTCCACTATCTTATTGTTGACCAGGTCTTCTATTTTACTCTGTTGGTCTATTGGAATTTTGCCTGTCGGATTACCGGCATCGTAAACTGCATAGCAGAGATCGTCCCGGTGCCTACTTCTGGCAACTTTGGCGTAAGATGCCGGCTCTTTTCGTTTTCCTCCGTCTAGCTTCTCCTTCCTTGTTTTTCGGGGCTTCTTTTGAGATTCCCTTACCTTCGAGGTTGATTTCGCCGACGTGTTCGTCTTCGGAATATCTGGCTTGGCGTTGTCACCCTTACTCGCAGGATTCTCACTTGAGATTCCTTTGAGTGAAGTATGGCTTGGCTTCGACTGTGTATTAGAAGACGGGGAGCTCTTTTTCTTCTTAGGTTTATTCTCAGTTGTCAACTCCTCGGGAGACCTGATACTTTTTGCCTCAGATCTTGTGAGAGAGTCCGATTTTTCCTTAGGAGTGTCGTGGGATTGACTAACTATGATTTCCTGAAGCATCTTTTTCAACTTCCTCCTCTGTGCTCCAGAAAGTCTTTTCTTAGTAATAGGTAGTTTAGCTATGCTAACACTCACCTCTTTCACCATTTGCTCTACTTCATCCTTTTTGGAATTTGCTATAATGGTATTATTATTATCATCTGAGGATTCAGAGTCGGAACCCTCACCTATATTTAAAGGCTGAGGTAGCTTAGAGCTCTCTCCGAGTACATCCTTCTCTTTCACCCCTATGTTTTTGCCAGTGACATGCTGTACACTTGACGCATTATCCGCCACGGAGGCCAAGGTACCCACCTCCGTAGTAGTATTTTGCTCACGATTGCAGGATGACAACGACACGTGACTCGCGAGTAGATCAACACTTGCCGCCGGTACTGGGTTATTTAGGCCCTGCACCGTAACTTTTATCTTTTTATTTTTATTTTCCTTATTTGTTTTTTCCGGTTTTTTGGTCCGCGGGGAATATAATATTCCCAGGTGGTGGACAATCTGCCCTCCCTCAGCTTAAGTGAAATTAAAGCTGGGAGAGGGCTGATGGTCCATCACCACCCCCTATCCGCAACCCGGGGACGCGCTCGTTAGGAAAAAACTGAAAACCAACATTTAAAAATGAAGACATAAATTGTATAAGCTGCATTAGAGGTAAGCAAATACGGCAGTCCTTTCCTAAGAAGAATAATAAATCAAGCAGTGAAGTATTAGAATTAATACACACAGATTTGTGTGGTCCGATGAGAGTAGAATCAATAAGTAAGAAACTTTATTTCGCAACATTCATCGACGACTTCACTAGAAAAGTATTAATTGTTCCATTCAAAATCAAGTTGTATATTTTACCTACTAAAGTGTAGTAACAGTGATTGTGAACAGATCTTTGCAGCAAGTCATAAGATTATGTTCTCAATGAAAAAAAAAAAAAAAAAAAAACAATCAAAACAAATATACATAACAATGTCAAAAGTGTAGTAATATAAGATATGGTAACACTAATTGTAATTAGGTCTGGTAGCATTAATTGTAATTGCATATAATTGCAACTAACTTCACGGTTGCAAAAAAACTGCAACCAACTTCATTATTAATTGTGATTTCCGCCTTGAATAAAGTGAACAAAAATAAGTAAAACGTGAAAACAAATAAAAATAAATAATTCAACTTGGCCAATTACTATAAAATCAGGTGTGGGGTACGACTGAAGCCCCTTTGTGTATAATTTGTGCACAAACTTTCAAGGATTACTAATTCATTTGGAGATGAATATGGATTTGCGACCAAGTCGCCATGCTTTAATGGCTGCATTAACAAATGCTGGGATTGAATTCCCCGAGTCAGCAACCCTAAGCCAATTAAGGCTATTGTTTCAAGAAGTGCAAAAGGAGGAAAATATGCCTACGGGAAATTCAAATGCAAACGATGAACCCACAAGCGACGGACGTCCAACTGACATGTTGATGATCAGTGGGGGCAGATTTTCTGACAATTTGTCAAAAATAATTCCGCACATGTGCGGAATAACCGATGACAATGTGACCGAGATACCATCGGATAGAAATGATGTACCAAACAACACGATGCCGATGGTTGATCAATTGGTAAATTTTACTGAGGTCAGTGCCCAAATCCAGAATACACCCGAAGCTATTAAACCTGCTGCCCATGTGCCCGATGTAAACGTGCCTGAAGTTGCTGTCAATATACCAACTGATAATTCTGCTGCCATGCCTGAAGTTGCTGTCAATATACCAACCGATAATTCTGCTGCCGTGCCTGATGTCGAAAATTTTTCTTATAATGCTGCTGGAAAACAAAATTCTGCTGCCAAAAATGAACTTAGAAATTTACAAATACGACTGGAAATTTTAAAATTGCAGCAACAAATTCGAGCGTTGGAAACAAATGCCCAACCAGCCGCATATGTCCATCGCATTGACTTAATGGAGCTGGACTCAGCAGTGCCACCATTTTCCGGGGATGACCATTACGATGTAATGAAATGGTTCACGCAATTTGAGGATTATGCTTCCAATTACACAATGAAGGAAAAATGTGTGGGTGTTCGTCGTCGCCTGGAAGGGACAGCAAAGAAGTATGCAAACAATTTAGGTTTGGTGGACTATGACGAGCTAAAAGTTAAGCTCATAAATATGTTTAGGCGCACGGTGTCCCGCCAAGAAATTTATCGGCAATTACGAACGCGTACCTTAAGCCCGAATGAAACGTGCTTAAGCTACTTAGTTGCCATGCAATCAATTGCCTCAAAAGCAGATATTTCAGAAGAAGAGCTGGTTGACATGTAATTGACGGCATACAAGACAGTGGCAACGCTATTTCATATTTGTATGGGGCCAGAACTGTAGATGAATTAGTTGTGCGGATGGACCGATATGAATATCGACGCAAGCAGATCCGTCCAACCAAAAATCCAGTAACAACTAATATTAATAAACAGAAAGTAACTGCCGATGTGGAAAGTGCTGCCAATAAATTACCTGATGCCGAAGTTCGCTGCTATAATTGTTCTCAATTTGGACATTACCAGTCCAAATGCCAAAAACCAAGACGCCCACCAAATTCTTGTTTTATTTGTGCCGAGGTTGGACACTTTCACCAAAACTGTCCGAAAAAGAAGACAATATCTGCTGCAATGGCTGAAGCTGGTAGAAATGAGGTTTTAGATGTATTTAATCCGGTAAGTGTTGCCTTCGTTCCGGTAGCCCCATTAGTTGTGTCCGGGAATCTCTCGTGCCCTTTAAAACGGAACGTTCTAAAATAATGACGTCTTACCGCGGTATGGGAAATAAACATTTAAACGTACTAGATCGTGTCCGATGTGATGTTATCTTTAATAATAAATTAATTACACATGAATTTTTAATATTGCCGGATGAAGAGTCCGTAATGCCGTTACTAATCGGACGCGATCTTATGTCGAAATTTAATATACGTTTATGCAAAATAAAAATAAAAAATAATAAAAATGAAATTTTGAAACTGAATTTAAAGAATATTGAAAATAAACCGAATGACAAAATTATCAGTGCGCTTATGTCGTTTAATTTATATAGAGTTTCGGGACGTGAAAATGAAATTCCAACTATTAGAAATTATTGTATTGTACATAATGCTATATTAAATTGTAATAATATTAATGATATGGGATGTATATTAGATGGAGTTGACCTATTTGCTTCTGAATTAGAAAGACCTAGTGATTGCGGAATGAGTGAATTAGACACAATTGTTGAAAGAGATATATGTGATTCCCTAGTAAATACAGTTTGTTCGATTGAGACCGAAGTTAATCTAAATATATCAACTTGCAGGACGCCGACCGAAGCTTTTGCATTAAGATCATTAATAAATATTAATTACTTTAAAAATTTTAATAGTGCTTCAAAAATAACTGACTTTTGTATGCAAATTAGGTTGACAAATGATGTACCTATGTATAGTGGACCTCGGCGTTTGTCTTACCGTGAACGTGGTGAAGTTAAATCTAAACTTGAGGAACTATTGAAGATGGGTATAATTCGCCCCAGTGAGTCGCCTTATGCATCCCCGATAGTGTTAGTTAGAAGAAAAAATGGAGATTTGAGGATGTGTGTGGATTACAGATCGCTTAATAGGATTACAATAAAGGATAACTATCCCTTGCCGATTATAGAAGACTGCCTTGATTATTTAGGTAATAAAAATTTTTTTTCGACTCTGGACTTGAGAAACAGCTTTCATCAAGTTCCAATGCATAAGGATTCTATTCAATATACGGCGTTTGTAACACCTTTAGGACAATTCGAATTTTGTTATATGCCATTCGGACTTAAGAATGCTGGCGCGGTGTTTCAACGATTTATTAATATGATATTAAGGGATATGATTGCTAAAGGGAAAATAGTAGTGTATTTAGACGATATAAGCATTGCAACGGAAACATTTGAGGAACACTTGGAAATATTGGGTCAGGTATTGCAGGCCTTAAGTACAGCGGGTTTAAGATTGAATTTTGAGAAATGCAAATTTGCATTTAATGAACTTGATTACTTAGGTTATAGAGACAACAATGAGGGTATTCGACCAAATGACACTCACTTCGAGACGATTAAGAATTATCCAATTCCCAAGGATCACGATGAGGTCGAAAGATGTATAGGATTATTCTCCTTCTTCCGTAGATTTGTTCCAAATTTTTCAAGAATAGCTAAACCCTTAACAGAGTTAAAAAAAGGAAAATTTAATTGGACGAGTGATTGTACAGAGGCATTTATGACACTGAAGGAAAAATTAAGTAATCCGCCAGTACTAGCAGTGTACAATCCCCAATACATAACGGAACTACATACTGATGCGAGTTCTAAAGGGTACGGTTCAGTGCTCTTGCAAAGACAGGTAGATGGAAAATTCCACCCAGTAGCTTATTACTCAAAATGTACTTCAAAAGCAGAGGCACAATATCACAGTTTTGAACTGGAAACTCTGGCTATAATATATTCTCTAAAACGATTTCGAATTTATTTAGAAGGCATTCCATTTACAATAGTGACAGACTACTCACTTACGTTGACGTTAAATAAGAAACTAATAAATCCAACGATAGCAAGATGGGCTTTAGAACTTGAAAACTTTGATTATAAAATTCGACATCGTAAAGGGGAATTGATGACGCATGTTGATGCCTTAAGTCGGATACCAATTATTGCCGCAGTCGACGGCTATGATGTGGATGTAAACATTCAAATTGCCCAGACTAGAGATGCTAATATTCAAAACATGCGAGAACGTTTGGAAAAGGATAACGTAGAAGGTTATACATTAGAGAACGGCTTAGTATTTCGATGTTCTGAACAAGGACGTAGACAACTATACGTACCCGCAGAGATGGAAGAAAACATAATACGTCTGATACACGAGAAATACGGTCATTCAGGGATTGAAAAATGTTTTAATAACCTAAGGAAATATTATTGGTTTCCAAAAATGAAGGAGAAAATTAATAAATTTATAAGAAACTGCCTGAAGTGTATATACTATTCAGCGCCTAATAGAAAAAATGAAAGGAATTTATATAGCCTGAGTAAAAAACCAGTCCCGTTTGATACATTACATATTGATCATTACGGACCATTACCATCGATAAAGTCAAAGCGGAAGTATATCCTTGTAGTCGTTGATGCATTTACGACATTTACAAAATTATACTCTGTGAACTCTCCAGGTACAAAAGAAGTCTTATGTGCTTTAAAGAAGTATTTTGAAAATTACAGCCGCCCGAGAAGAATAATTAGTGACCGGGGAACTTGTTTTACATCTAGTGAATTTAGCAAATTTGTATACGATCGTAATATAGTTCATGTTAAAGTGTCAGTGGCATCACCACAATCAAATGGGCAAGTCGAGAGGATAAATAGGGATTTAAGGGCAATGTTAGCAAAACTGACAGAACCAATCGAACATAGTGACTGGGTCGAGAAATTAACGCATGTAGAATTTGCTATTAACAACACCGTGCACCGGTCTATAGGACAATCCCCTAGTAAGATGTTGTTTGGTATTGAACAAAAGGGCGAGATAATTGATGAATTGACAGAACATTTGCAGGACACTTATGAGGGAATTAATAGAGATTTAGTTTCGATTAGAAAGCAAGCCTCTGATGCTATAGAGAAGTCTCAATCGTACAACCTGAATTATTTTAACAAACATCATAAGCCGGCCAAAATATTCAAAGTGGGAGATTTGGTAGTATTGAAAAATGTCGATACATCAGCCGGCGTAAACAAAAAGCTCATTCCAAAATATCGAGGGCCATCAGGTAACACAAATGCCATATGTTGGCATTGTAGATTCAAGTCGTTTGAGAAATTGATTGGAATTTAAAATTGATAATCGAAATAATTTAATGAACTCTGAAGGCAACATTGACGAATATGAAAATTATGAATATTTAGAGAATGATGATAGTATTAGTGAATATGAAGATTTCGAATTTTTAGATGAGGAATATTTATAAATAGTATCAATCGAGGTCGATTGAAATGTCAGGTCGGCCGAGATTGTAGTAATATAAGATATGGTAACACTAATTGTAATTAGGTCTGGTAGCATTAATTGTAATTGCATATAATTGCAACTAACTTCACGGTTGCAAAAAACTGCAACCAACTTCATTATTAATTGTGATTTCCGCCTTGAATAAAGTGAACAAAAATAAGTAAAACGTGAAAACAAATAAAAATAAATAATTCAACTTGACCAATTACTATAAAAGATACAAAAAATTAAAAAAAACATTAAATTAATTAAACATGCGAAATAAACCAAATTAATTTCTTTGAATTTTCAATTCTTTTATTTTCTTTATTCCACATTTTAAACTAATAAATAAACAGTTTTTAATAAAATTTTAGCTTTTTTGTTTTGGTAAACAGCTGTTTGTTTTTGATTTCAGTGTTACCACTTTATCGTTTTTTATGCTAAAATCGTTTGAATTTTTTGTTTATATGTTGAAATAAACATTTGGCAACACTAAACTTTCTTACAACATTCGAAAAACATATGAAAAATTGTCGTAGGAGTTGTATAGAGCTTTTGCATAGAAAATACCAACAACATTGTTATGACTATTGTAGCAGCTGCTGACATACAACGCTACAACATCGATTGTGAATTGAACAAATATATTTACTAAGGAAAAAGAGTGAATATCTAGAAACATTCAAAGAGTTTAAGTAAGAGGTGGAACTAAAAACAGGCAAAAAGATTAAAGGTTTAAGATCGGATAATGCACCTGAGTTAAAAAGTAATGAATTTAAGAGCTTTATGAAAAATTGTGGCATTAAACATCAATTTACAGTTCAATATACTCCGGAACAAAACGGAATAGCCGAACGGATGAATAGAACTCTTGTAGAAATGGCGAGGACTATCATGATAGAAGCCAAATTACCAGAATTTTTGTGGGCAGAATTGATTATGACTTCCGCATATATCAGAAACCTGTGTCCTACAAAATTAAATGATGACAAAACACCTGAGGAACTTTGGTCGGGTAAGAAGCCAGTTGTGAAACATTTAAGACAAATTGGTTGTAAAGCCTTTGCACTGGACAAAAAGCCAGGCAAATCGAAATGGCAAGCTAGAAGTTCTGAATTTGTATTTGTCGGATACTCTTCGGAATCAAAAGCTTACCGTCTATGGAAATCTGGAACTCAGAACATAATTAAAAGCCGTGATGTACGATTCATTGAAGAAGAATTTGATGTGGATTTGAATGAAATTCAGGATAAAAATGTTGGATTCTATGAATTTAATTAGAATCAAAATAAACAGAATGAACAAACTATATTAAATGCGAATGAGTCGGAATCCATAAATACAAACCCATTACAATCACAGTGTATCTCAAATCAGAATTCTTCACACGATAGATTTTATGAATTTAACTGGAATCAAAATAATCAACAACGTATAATAAATACAAATGAATCCGAATCTGTAAATTCTAATTCATTACAATCGCAGCATATTTCAAATGATAACACTTCACATACTTCTATTAATGAAGAAACTAATTTGAATCAATATTTAACAAGTGACGATGAACCAAAACCAAATGAACCAGAACCATCAACATCAATTAAGGAACGCACAGTGGGGCAGAATCGAAATTTTTTGGAAATAAATCTGGCATTTCTAAACGGCGGATCCGCTCGGTATAAAATTTGGTGTGAGCGTAGCCAAGGAGTATTCGAGTTTAAGTTTTGAAGATGAACCCCGCAGATGCCCCAGGGACGGCGATCAAAGTAGGGTACCTACGACATGTAAAATTTTTAAACTCGTGCCATTTTTTTGTTTTTCATCCAAATACAAAGATTTTTATATTTTCTGAAAGCGAGACGAGATCTTGAAAAAACATGCTTGGACATACTACTTATCTCTTATAATATCCGAGTTATAGGCATTTAAAAATTTAGTGATACAAAATTTACCATACCTTGGTCCGCCTTTTTTTGAATACCGGGCGTAATTTTGGACCAAATTTTTTTCTTGTTAGTTAGACAACAAAATTTCCAATAATATACAAAAAATTTCAGATCAATATAATTTACAGATCCAAAAATATACGTTTTTTAATTTAAAAATTCAAAAAATTTTAGATTTTTGCCGTTTTTTTGCCAAAAATGTGTCTTAACTCTTTTATTAATAAAATAAAATTTTCTTTAAGAACATGTAAAAATTTTATAGTTTTCTAAAAGGTATCTTTACGCAGAACGCTTTGGCGTAACAAACTTGTCCTATTTTTTGAAAATGTTGCCACTGCGTCCTTCCGAATATGACCTATTTTTTATCAAAACTTCAACTTTGGGCGACATGTTCTAAAATCCCAAAGCTGGGATCAGAAAACTGAAAGCAGTTTTGGAAACCTCAATATGTTTTCTATTTACTCCAAAAGTATTTTCCTAGCACTGAAAGAAATGTGGACCCTATGGGCAAAAAAGTAAAAATCCCATTTTTGGGATTTTCATTCCTATTTTTGGGAATTGCGGGATGCCCTCTGACCTTTTCAATTTTTCTTATTTGAAATGACAAATTTAACAAGCGTTGAAAATTTCATTGAGTTTTGTTCATAAATAAAGATTTTGTCATATATTACATATTTGTTTAATTTCTAAAACTATGATTTATATCAAAATTTTAATAGGGTCGCAGATAGCTACAACAATTTAGTCCATATTTATCCCTTAATATCTTTTTTTTAGTTAGATATGGAAATTCTCGATTCTTTACAAAAATTTTCAAGCCAATATCTCAATTACATTCAAAAATATGTTCATTTAAACCTGTATCCTTTAATTTCATATTTTTCATATTTTAGTATTAAATATGACAGAACATATTTAAATCTTATATTTACCTATTTTCTATTTGTTTGCTTATCCTTATAATTGAAAGGTCCTATTATGCTTAAATTTTCAGAAATTTATAACTATATTTTACCATTTGGTCCAAAATTACGCCCGGTATTCAAAAAAAGGCGGACCAAGGTATGGAAAATTTTGTATCACTAAATTTGTAAATGCCTATAACTCGGATATTATAAGAGATAAGTAGTATGTATCACTAAATTTTTAAATGCCTATAACTCGGATATTATAAGAGATAAGTAGTATGTCCAAGCATGTTTTTTGTTGTATTTGGATGGAAAACAAAAAAATGCCAAGAGTTTAAAAATTTTACATGTCGTAGGTACCGTACTTTGAGCCGCCACAGCGCCGTCCCTGGGGCATCTGCGGGGTTCATCTTCAAAACTTAAACTCGAATACTCCTTGGCTACGCTCACGCCAAATTTTATACCAAATTTATACGGATAAGCCGTTTAGAAATGCCAGATTTATTTCCAAAAAATTTCGATTCTGCCCCACTGTGGAACGTTTGACATCATGGACTCTATTTAAAGCCAGGGAAGAAGCACATTCAATTACTCAAGAGGAACAGGAAAATGATCCCAAAAATTTTAAAGAAATGTTTAAATCCTAAAATGTTGATGATTGGAAAAATGCTGTTAATCAAGAATATAACTCCTTAATTAAAAACAATACTTGCTACAAACTACTATTGGATGCAAATGGGTTTTTAAAACCAAATATAAACCAGATGGAAAAGTTGAAAAAAGAAAGGCACGATTAGTAGCTAAAGGTTACACCCAAAAATACGAAATGCAGATTAAAGAAATCTATATATGGATCAAAAAAAGCTGGCCGACAATGGTATATAAAAATTGATAAAGTATTTAAAAAATTTAATTTAACAAACTCTAAATATGACCAATGCATATATTACATGAAAAATGGTAAACAAATTTTAATAGTAGCATTATATGTAGATGATATAATTATAACATGCAACTGCGAAGAAACTACAAACAAGTTGATAAAATTAATATCAGAAAACTTTGAGATACGCGACATTAAAGAACCAAAGCACTGTATTGGACTTGAAATTATTCAAGATTCTGAATCGTTATCTATATGTCAACCGGGATATATTCAAAACCTAATTGAAAAAAATGGGTTATTAAATGCAAAATCTGTTAAAATTCCTATGCAATCAAAAATTAATTTGGAAAAAGAACCAAAAATTCCAGGAGAAGGAGAAAAAGTAGATAAAACTAAGTATCAAGAAATTATAGGTTCTTTATTGCAGTTTTAATGTGTTAACAAATTATTACAATTTTGCCAAGATCCCAGAAAGCAGCACTGGAATGCGTCGTTATACATAATTAGATATCTAAAAGAAACAAAACATTACAAAATAACTTACAAGAAAACGTCACTACCATTAATGGGCTATGCAGATGCAAACTGGGCTCAGGATATTGACGACCGAAAATCTCAGTCTGGACACTGTTTCATTTTTGCTGGTGCTGTCATATCATGGGAGTCTCGCAAACAAAATGTTGTTGCAACTTCAAGTGCATAGTCGGAGTACATATAATTGGCTGAATCAGCAAAAGAAGCAATGTTCTACAATAATCATGAGTGACTCTCAGAGCGGCCAACACATGGCAAAATTCGGTGGGCATCACTCGAGAACCAAACACATACATTATCGATATCATTTTATTCGTGATGCAGTCGAATCAAATTGTAAATATAAAATAAATCCCTACAGAAAACATGGTTGCAGATGTTTTAACCAAATCATTGCCAAAAATTAAGCATCAATTTTGTATTGGAAAGATGGGTATGACATTCAAAACCAATAATCGTTGAGGAGGCGTGTTGGATATCAACTTTATTGTTTTGTACTTGTTATTTTATTTTATAGTTGTTCATTTAATATTTTGTTTGATTAAAAAAAAATATTTTACTTTACTTTGTATTTTGTTTTTGTTGAATAAATATCTTTGTTTGTTTTAAGAAAAACCCTTTTATAAATCTTAATATAAAAAATATAATCATAAAACAAATAATTAAAAATAAAAAAACTTATTAATAATAAAATAAATTTTAAAATAATTTTGAAAAAAAAAAAAATATTAAAAGTTGTACCGCCAAAATTTAAATCCTAACTCAAAACGACAAAAGATTAATTAATAATGGAAGTTCAACAAAACCAGCCAAGAAAAACAATCTTCACCAAAGTCAGGATACTGTATCCCTGCCATAAAAATAATCGACCAATTTTAGAGATAGAAACGTGATACCCAATATCTATAAAGTTGAAAGTACAAGAACATGAGAGCCTGTTAGTCAAACGTACGAAATATTGAAAACAAAGAATGATTTAAAAATTAAATACCAATGATTACATTAAACTAATTATCCCTTAAAAACTGCAACAGCTAATAGACAAAATGATAAGAGGAACAACAACTGAATTGCAAATAGTGTCCAAACCATAGAACAATACCTGACAGAATATGAAATAAACCAGAGACAGTAACTGTTATAAGTTTTATTATAAAACTTAAAATTTAATAATTATTTTCAAGCAAAATTTTTTTTCCTCAAAAATAAAACTTAATGTTAAATTTTATTTTTTTGTTCAAAAATAAAACTTATTTCTTGATTTTTATTTTTTGTTCAAGAAATAATTATTATTTTTGAGTTTTATTTTTTTCATTGAAAAATAAAAATCATTTTTAAGTTTTATATTTTTGCTTGAAAAAATAAAAGTTATTCTTGAGTTTTATATTATTTTCTTCAAAAATAAAACTTAATATGAAAATATATTCTTACAAATAAATTTTGATTAAAATATAACATTAGAAAGAAGTAGTTGTGTTATATTCAGGCAAACCGAATCTTATATGTATTGTCACCATCTAAACGTATCTAATAAACTTAAAGTGAGTTTGGAAGGAGGTCTTAAGAAGATGATTGTGTACTGATTCTTTATTACGATTAACTGACTTACTGGATTAACACAGTACCTACTATATTTTGATATATCGAAACAATATGAGCATTAGGGCGATTTTCGAAAGAGTGTCTTTTATGGGACTTAGGTTATTTATGTACCGAACTCTGCGTTAAACTAACTTTTTCAACTTTTCAAATGAGACCTAATTTTCGCCACATTTTACATGTGATTTCGGACTACTTATACTCTTAGGTATTATTTGATCACAATTGCTATATAATAAACATATTTATAAGAGTTTAAACTTTATTCTGAAAGGACTTTTCAGGTTTGCACTATACAGCGCATCCAACAGTCAGATGTTCGTATTTGTCAGATTTCGTATTACATCGTCTTAGAATATTATAAGGACACAGAATATATGTATGTATGAACTTATGTGAATCTACGACTACGATGAGTTACAAACGAAATGACAAAATCAGATTACCCCAATATTGGTGGGTATAAAAAGAGATAATGTATCCATAACTGAGTGTTTATGCAATCCGAAAAAACCTTGACATAGACATAAAAATCCGAATTGGAAACTAAACCTTAGATTGGATGCACATATTCCATATTGAAAATTTTATAAATATCAATATTATCATAGCTATGCGTTTTTTTTTTTATTTCTTAAGAAAAGCTTAAAAACTACATTTAATATTATAAAAAGTCATTTCTCTAAACATTTTATAAAAGAAAATGTTTTCATATTGACTTTTATTTTTGAAAAAAATAAAATAAAACTCAAGAATAATTTTTATTTTTCATGTAAAAAAATAAAACTTAAAATTAATTTTTATTTTTCAATGAAAAAGATAAAAATCAAAAATAATCGTTATGATTTAAACAAAAAAAAAAAAAAAAAAAAAAAAATAAAACTTAAGAAAAATTATTATTTTCTGAGTAATATACAAAACTTAAAAAATAAAAATCATTGTTTTAACCGATAATGCGTCTTTAGAGAAAACAAATGGTATATTCAATTAACTTTTACTCTTAATCCTTGTATTTGATTTTTTGTTTTAAATTTTAAGAATAATCATTATTTTCTGTCCCTGAAATGAACCAAATAAATTAATTGAAAATAAAACAAAGAACTCATGAATGAACAAATAATAGAAGAATATGAAGATCAAAACTAGAAAAATAAAAATGGCTTATCCGATGGCAAAAATAATACCAGAAATATCTCTCCAAATGACGAAGACACTCTCTCACTATAAACAGTATGAGAATTAATCAAACATTAAAGATAATTCCACACATCAAAAGATAAAAACTCCCTCAGCACTATAAATACAAATAAAATGTCATCAACCTTGCCCGAAAATAAAACAATATCTGAAGCAATGAAAGATCCACACTCAAATAATTTAAAGTACTAATACCAACTACAGCAATCCCACCACACCTCATTAATACAACAAGACCACTCCCTCTTTTACAACATATTGAAAAATGCTAAGCAATAATCCAATATGAACAAAAACACTGTAACAATAGCACTATCAAATTTAAGCCCATATAAGATACCCCTATCGAAACGTCAAACAACAATGAAATTGGTTTTGAAATAAAAGCGGAATCCGAGTTATTAAAAAGCGGGATTTGAATGAAAATATATTGAAAAAGCGGGATTTTGAAAATTGTCATTCATTAAATCCGGATTTAATAAAACTTAATATCAAAACAAGTAAAAACATTTTACTCGACTAAGACATATATGTACATATATCGATATTAATATTAATTTTTAGAAACAAAATATTTTTGTAAAACTTTTTAACCATGAACATATATGAGCGGTCAATTGAGGTCAATTATAAAATTCGGTAGAGAGATTTTGGCTTATAAGAAACTTACTTCTGTATATCGAATTTTATAGCTAAACTCGCATTTTTAAGCCAGTAATGTGCGTTCAAGTCATTTTCTGAAGGGGCTCTTCTATGGGGGGTAGGGTCAATTATGGACCGATTCTCATAAAATTAGGCAGATAGATTTTAACTCATAAGAAACTTACTTATATTGAATTTCTGCGCTATACTTGTATTTTTAAGCGAGTAATGGGCGTTAAAGTAATTTTTTGGAGGTGACAATATATGAGGGTGTTGTTCTTTTTATGCTTGTGTAAATAAAAGACAACTTTTAATATTAAACTTAAAATCTATTTATTAAAGAATATTACAAAACTATGAAAAAGACGCAAGTTGAGATGGACGGTTAAAAGCAGTTATATAAGTATAATTCAAATGTGACAGTTGTATATAAGAATGTCAGATTGTAAAGTGGTTGACAGGGTTACCCCTAACATCTCCCTTCTTTAAGTTGCTTGCAGTGTGACCAGGTCTCAAAAATGTTGCGGCTAAATCCCATCCAAAAAAATGCTAGAAAAAATGCTAAATTGATTTTAAAATGCCAAAAAAAAAAAAAAAGCTAAAATTTTTTAAGTGTTTTTATTAACAATTCATATTAATTTGTAACTGAAATTCATTGTAATTTATAACAAGTAAGAAAGTATATTCTGCCGTGGTTGACCATATGAGTATAAAATTTGATTTATTTTTCGTAATAAAGCATATATGTTGAATTGAACCTTGGTTCCGATATATTTAAACTAATTTTCTGAGAAAGGCTTTATACATATGTATGGGAGCTAGGTAAAATAAAGGACGGACTTTAACCATTTTTAAATGGTTTTGTCATTGGATCAAAAAGCATACGTGCTTATTGTTTTGAAAATTTCAACCTCTACCAGACGGTCAGACTTACATTTCTTAATTGATTCAGAAAATGATTCTTAACCGATTAGTATACTCAAACGTAGTATAGTGGAGTGGATAAAAAATTAAGTTCCGTGGTATTAAGATAAACAGAAATGCTAAAAATTATTTCAAAAATTTTGTAAATTTAGCAATATGTAATGTCTCTAACTTTAAAATATTTCTGAATGCAAAAATTACATTAAGACTCTATTAATTACACTAGTTGCTCATGGTATAAAACCTATATGTGTTTTCGGAAGGAAAAGTATAATATTTCTAGTTTTACTTTTTTTTATATAAACAATTTTATTTGTCTTCCTCAAAACACTTTAAAAATGGTTTTCATGTCACAAAAATATTGAAAATTCCGTTGAAATAATTTTAAATCTCGGTGAATAGATGTCAGATTTATAACTCATACTTCCAAGATTTTTTCGGAAAAATATATATGAGAATGTATGAAATGAATTGAGAGATATATTCAAATCCGTATTTTTGTAATTCTGGAATAAATTGTCAATAATATTTTCGAAATTTATGTATTTTTTTTAATTAAAAAAAAAACGTCACAAAAAAATTACTAAAAATTTGGTAAAAATAAAAAGAACAGAAAGTAGGATGAGGAAGTCTTAATTATATATTATTGATTTTTTTCAATACTTATTTTCAATAAATTAACAAGAACTCCTGAAGGATGATAAAAATTAAAACCTCTTTATTTCATATAGGAAAAAATAATAAATAAAAAATTTGTTAACCGTCATACATAGCCTTTTCCAAAATTATATGTTTCATTCCATGAGCAAACAAAAAGTATTAGTTTGTAAAATAGCGTACTGAACGTATTTGTAAAAATATATGAAATCTCTTGAATTATTTCTATCACCTCGAATTTAAAAAAGCATTGGGTTCCAGAAAAATATTTTAGAATACAACATTTTAAAGTATTCACTTGTATTGGCGTAAGTTTAAGTTATTTATCTTCATGAATCTTTTTGCATTATTTTGAATTACAGTGTAAATTATTACATTTCTCATATTTCTTGTTGCTTGTGTTTGGGTAGACATTTAATTCTGATTTTTTCCGGTTAAACCTATTTCCAATATAAATCTTTTTTGCAAAAATTTGTCTTTTTTTGTTTATATACTAGGGTGATC